TGGTGTTGTGAGTCTGTGTATAAAAGTAGCCTGAACTCTGCTTACAATGTGAGGGGTACGCAAGGTCGCCCCGAATGCTCAACGTATATAACACTCTGCGGTCAAATACGTACCACCGAAAACCAGTTATGCAGTTTACATTGACGAGATTCGATGGTTCTATGTTATGCTTCTGAGAGGTGGTCCCAACTGAAGGGCAGCCACCGCTCCAGAGACATCTCGAAGCAGAGCATAGGTTTCGAAGCCAGCGGGGCGAAAGAGGAAGAAAATTGGCAGGAGATAGTGAAGGAGCAGGAGCAGTAGCAGGAGCAGCAGGAGTGAGTTGAAATCTGCACTCTTATTGGGCACAAGGCGGCTGATTAGGTCCCCGTGGCACCTTGCTCAGCAGAGTGTCAATGAAGCTGGCGGCATTCTCGAAACCCTTCAAAAGGATGTACCAGTCTGTGCGTTTCACGACCTGCAGGCGGATCGGGCAGCGGGTAGGGAGGTGGGCCCAACTCTAGAGTGCACGAAGGGACTCCGGCACAGCAAACCTGCTTGAAAGGCTGACCTCCAGCTGGCCGCACATCAATGGGGCCCGAGCCACCCCGTGTCGTTCAAAGATAAACGAAGACGGCTGGGGGATGCTGAGTTACAGAAGGGTCCTCCGATGGAGCAGCCCGCGCAACGACACCGCGCGATCGGACCATCTCAAGGAATTCCCGCTCAGAGGAGAGGCACCTGACGTGACAAAGTGCTGCCTTGCCGTCCAAGCACGAGCTAATAAACCTGCCAGGAACCACCAATCGATTCTGGGCACCCGCAATCAACATCGCTGTTTCGAGTGTTTACATGGGGGTTGAGTGTCGTGTACCCATCAGGTGTTTTGCGCCGCCAGCCACTCTCGATGTGAGACCCGAGCCACGGGTTACGGCAGCTGCCCGCTGCGACGGCACAAATATCCGCCGGCCCCTTGCGGGGCCACCAGGCTGTAGGGCGAAGTTGATGCTACCTGCATCAGCTGCAGTTGGAAGTCTCCAATGTTACAATCCTGCTTCCTGCTTCCTACTGTAAACTGTTTAAGTCCACGCGAGGGGGGGGGGAGCCCCAGACCCAGTTAACACGCCATGATCGCGTTGTCTGAATTCCCAGGCGGGCGTGGGACACGAACAACATGATCGACCCACGAACCCGGAAAGGAATATGCCCAAGTGCCCCCAAAGATCGCCCAAGAGGCCCAAGACGGCCCCAAGAGGCCCCCAAGACGGCCAAAGAGGCCTCCAAGACGCTCAAGATGGCCTCCAAGACGGCCCAAGAGCCCTCCAAGACGTCCTCCAAGGAGGCCCGAAAGGGTCAAAATGGCCTCCAGGCGGCCAAGATGACCTTCAAGATGCCCACGTGTTCCCCGAAGGCTTTCCAAACCGATTCGGGGAACACATGGTCCGATAGCTTGGCAGGTCTGGCCTCAACGTTCGGCCACACAGGCGTTTCCACAACGGCAGGGGGCGGCGGTGATTCGCCGTAGGCGTCTTCGATCCGCCGACCCCTGTTGATTCATCGCAGGGGTGCGGGCGTGCTAGACGATTTAGGTTTTGGTTTTGGTTCTTTTCCAGAAGAACTCCCCCTGGGGCTTCGGCACGTCCCGCCGGGGTCCCGGGAAGGATCTCAAAACGCATCCGTCGATGCCTTTGTTGCCCCACGTTGGCACAAGATGGCCAACAAGACGGCCAAGATGGCCCAGGATGGCCTCCAAGTTCGCCCAAGATGGTCCAAGATGGCCTCCAAGACGGCCGAAGAGGGTCCAAGATGCCTTCTGAATTGTCCAAAAAGCCTCAAAACGGGCCAAGATGGCTCCAAGATGGCCTCAAGATGGCCCAAGAGGGTGCCAAGAGGTCCCCCAGGAGAGCCCGAAGAGGCCAAAATCATTGATTATTCATTGGCGTTTGAATGATTTTGACATATGCTTCTTTAAGCCTTCCCGCTATCCAAGACGGCACAAGAGGCCCCCAAGATCGCCCCCAGAGCAACCAAGAGGCCTCCAAGATGGCCCCAGGACGGCCCAAGAGGCCTCCAAGACGACCCAAAGACGGCCCAAGAGGCCTCCAAGACGCCCAAGATGGCCTCCAAGACGGCCAAGATGGCCCCAAGAAAGCCTAAGATGGCTCCAAGATGTCTCCAAGACAGCCTAAGATGCACCCAAGACGGCCCAAGATAGCCTCAAGATGGCCCAAAACGGTTCCAGAGGCCCCAAAGAGATCGCCAACACGTCCCAAGAGAGGTCCAAGAGGCCCCTCAAGATGTCCCGAAGAGGCCAAAATCATTGATTTTCCTGGGGTGTTTGAAGGATGTTGGAGTCCGCTGCGTTTCGGCTGTCCGACGGCCCAAGGCAGTCCAAGAGGCCAGGAAGATCGCCCCAAAAGCGCCCAAGAGACTTCCAAGATGGCCACAGGACGGCCCAAGAGGCCCCCAAGACGGCCCGAAGACGGCCCAAGAGGTCTCCAAGACGCCCAAGATGGCCTCCAAGACGGCCAAGATGGCCCCAAAAAAACCCAATATTGCCTCAATATGTTTTCAAAACGGCCCAATATGCACCCAAGACTGTCCACTATTGCCTCAAGAAGGCCCAAGACGCAGGACAAGAGGCCCCCACGAGGCCGCCAAAACATCCCAAGAGAGGTCCCCAAGGTGCCAACATCATTGATTGTTCTAATGCGGTTGAATGATTTTGGAATGAGTTTCCTTTCGGTCTTCCGACGGCCCAAGACGATCCAAGAGGCCATCAAGATCGCCCCAAGAGCGCCCAAGAGGCCTCCAAGATGATCCCAGGACGGCCCAAGAGGTTCCCAAGACGACCCCGAGGGAGCCCAAAGACGGCCCAATAGGCCTCCAAGACGCCCAAGATAGCCTCCAAGACGGCCCTGAAGCGCCCCAAGAGGGCCCCAAGTCGGTTCAGAGAAGCCTCCACGACTGCTTCCGACGGCGTCAGAAGGGCCAGTAACGCCTAAGACTGCCAAAGAGGCCCCCAAGAAGCGCCCAAAGGCCCCCCAGAGGCCCCCAAGAGGCCCCAAGAGAGCCCAAGATGACCCAAATATGGCCTCCAAGACGGTCCCAGGATGACTCCAAGACCACCAAGATGGCCCAATCGGGCCCCAGAGTGCTTCAAGAGACTCCGAAGAGGTCTCCCCCCCCCTTCTCCTTTTGCATTATTATCATCCTCTTCCCCTTCCTCGACCACGTGTTCCGCGAAGGCTTTCCAAACAAACTCGGGGAACATCTGGTCCGATAGCTTGGGCAAGCTCTAACCCAACTTTCGGCCACATAGAAGCTTCCACACATGCAGGGTTGGACTCTGCTGCTGTTCGGTCCTCCGACGGCCCAAGACGATCCAAGAGGCTAGGAAGATCGCCCCAAGAGCGCTCAAGAGGCCTCCGAGATGGTCCCAGGACGGCCAAAGAGGTCCCCAAGACGGCCCCAAGAGAGCTCAAAGACGGCCCAATAGGCCTCCAAGACGCCAAAGATGGCTTCCAAGACGGCCCTGAAACGCCCCAAGAGGGCCCCAAGTCGGTTCAGAGAAGCCCCAACGACGGCTTCCGACGGCGCCAGAAGGGCCAGGAACCCCTAAGACTACCAAAGAAGCCCCCAAGAGGCGCCCAAAGGCCCCCAGGACGCCCCAGAGAGCTCAAGATGGCCCAAATATGGCCTCCAAGACGGTCCCAGGATGCCTCCAAGACCGCCAAGATGGCACAATCGAGCTCACGAGTGCTTCAAGAATCTCCGAAGAGGCCTCCCCCCCTTCTCTGTGTTCCTCCTTCTCCCCCTCTCCCTCTTCCTCGACCACGTATTCCCCGAAGACTTTGGGGAACACATGGTCCGATAGTTTGGCTAAGCTCTAGCCCAACTTTGGGCCACAAGACGGCCAAGGCCTCCAAGACGGCACCAAGACGGCCTCAAGACGACCGAAGAGGCCTCCAAAAACGCCCAAGATGGCCTCCAAGACGGCCCCGAACCGCCCTAAGAAGACCGAAGTCGGTTCAGGGAGGCCCCCGAGACGGCTCCCGACGGCGTCAGACGGGCCATGAACGCCATAAGACAGTAAAAGAGGCCTCCCAGAAGCCCCTAAAGGGCCCCAAGACGCCACTAAAGGGCCCCAAGACGCCACAAGAGGCCCCAAGAGAGCCCAAAATAGCCCCAACGTGGCCTCCAAGATGATCCCAAGATGGCCCAATCGAGCCCAAGAGTGCCTCAAGAGGCTCTGAAGAGGCATCCTTCCCCTTCTCCTTGTTCATCCTTCTCCTCCTCTTCCTATTCCTTCCCCACGTGTTCCCCGAAGGCTTTCCCAAACCGACTCGGAGAACACATGGTCCGATAGCTTCGCCCCCCAAGATGCCTCCAAGATGGCCCAAGATGTCTCCAAGACGGCCTAACATGGCGTCAATATTGCCCAAGACGGCCCAAGAGGCCCCCAAGAGGCCTCCAAGACGGCCAATGAGGCCTCCCAGGGGTCTTCCAGGAGGGCCCGAGGAGAACACAATCATTAATTTTCCCTAAGTGTTTCAAGGATGTTGGCATGTTTCTTCTCGCCATTCCGACGGCTCAAGACGGCCCAAGAGGCCTCGTCTTCTTCCTCATCATGCTAATTCTCCCCTACGTGTTCCCCGAAAGCTTTCCAAACCGATTCGGGGAACATATGGTCCGATAGCTTGGCAGGCCTCTGGCCACAACGTTCGGACAATTAGGCGCTTCCGAAGGGGCAGGGGGCGGTGGTGATTCGCCGTAGGCGTCTTCGATAACGCTAACGTCTCAACATGCGCTGATGATTCCTATCCGCCTCCGCATGATGTTCCCACATGCGCCAAGGCAGCGCCGAGACGCACCGACGCGACTCTGAAAGATCCCATTCTGAATGAGAGGGGGCCTGCGGCAGGGGGCGAGGCCCTTACGGATCATCCCAGACTCCCCAGTACCGCCCCACATAGGCTGCCCCTTCCGCATGCTGGTTGGCTAGAACTCGAGCCATACGCGGCCCCCCCGAACGTTGCCCGTGAGATCGTGGACGCGACGAGGCCACCACCAGTAGGCCCCCTCTCCCCTCCTGGGGGGGCATGGCGGAGGAGGTGGAGGAGGAGGGGAAGAAGAGGGAGAGGGAGACGAAGAGCCAGGAGGAGGAGGAGGAGGAGGGAGGGGGGAGGAGGAGGAGGAGGAGGAGGAGGAGGAGGAGGAGGAGGAGGAGGAGGAGGAGGAGGAGGAGGAGGAGGAGAGGAGGAGGAGGAGGGGAGGAGGAGGGGAGGAGGAGGAGGAGAAGGCATGCGCGAATCGAAGCCCCTCCGTCAGACCCAGCTGACCCACCACCTCCTGGCCACGGGGACCCCGACGCGGAAGGGCACGCGGGGGTCGCTCTGGCACGGCCTCGCACACTTCACTGCGAGCGACCCCCCATCAACCTTCCAGCCAAGCCCCACCGCTCCAGAGACGAGTGTGGGACGACCGCCCCAGCCTCCTGAAGGAAGAGCACTACACACACACAAACTTTTTTGATCTGCAGGACGAGAGCGAACCTCTCCCGCTGAAAGCTGAGCGGGACGCGCACAGCTTCAATTAGCAGAGAAGGGGCGAAGGAAAGCGGGGCCTCCCGCGGCCAAGAGCGGGCGAAGCCCGGGGATCAGGCGGTGCCGAAGTGGACGTGCAGGAAGTGGACGTGCAGGAAAAGGTACACCTTGGAAAGGAGCCCGGTGGTGAAGACCCGGGAGGAAGACTACACACACACACACCTGACCTGGCCAAGCTCGTCCCGAGCCCCAGAATCGCTGCATGCGCCCTCCTGGCTTGGCCGGGGAGGCCTCCACACCGACCCTGGGACCGGCGAAGGACCTGGCCGGGGCCGGTGCCTGCGCACAACTCTCGCCGCCCGCGCCCTGCCCTGCCCCGCCTTCGCTCGGGGCCCCCAAGGCCCGACCGCTTGCCCACTCCCCCGGGAAGCTCCGAGGCGTCGCGCCTGCGGGCCGGCATACTGCACCGGCACTGTGATGACAGAGCGCGGCGGACAGCCGGCATACTGCACCGGCACCGTGGTGACAGAGCGCGGAAGATGGGGATGGGGATGGGGATGGGGATGGGGATGGGGATGGGGATGGGGATAGAGATGGGCATAAGGATACGGAAAGGGATGAGGATATCCGGTGGGAGACGACGTGAGACAATGGGAGACAACGGTAGACAATGGGAGACAATGGGAGGCAACGGGAGACAACGGCAGGCAACGGGAGACAACGAGAGAAAACGAGAGACAACGGGAAACAACATTGCCCGCCCGACTCAGGATCCAGCGATCCACCTATTCGCTTCTTGGAGCACTTGCTGTACAACCCTTGCAAACAAGCTGCTCAGGAAGCAACCATAACGCTGGCGCGAACAACTTCAGCCCGCCAGATCCCCTGCACCCCAAGCAAGTGTCCCCGCTGGCCAGGCGAGGAGCCAACGGTTTTGGATCGAGACTGGCACGCCCTCCTGCCTTGTCTTGGCCCTCGCCCCCGCATCCAGAGGTCACTGCACCGACCTTGCAGACGTACTGCAGCGGATCTTTGCGTGGATTTCTGTCAACACAAAGCCCCGAAACAGCGAACGAAAAACGAAGTGAATTTCACGTGGACTTGTCGTAATCTTCATCCCTGGCCCAAAAGATCCGCACGAAATTAACACAGCAATCCGGACTCTCCAGGACAATCCGGGCCCATCCCACTGTGTTCCGAACGAAATCCGCTCTGCGACGTTGGCCTAATGGCGGGGGGCCTGAACCAGGTCTGGATCGAGGAGGGCACGAAGCTGCTCGGCGAGGTCCACGGGGCACTCGCCGCACAAGTAGAAGTCCTGTTGGAGGCGGGAACGCGCGCGCGGGCGGAGGACGCAGACCAGGAGGAGGGGCAGGGCAGTCGGCCAGCGAAGGCAGCAAGTGCTCCTCCTCCTCCTCCTCCTCCTCTCCTCCTCCTCCTCCTCCTCCTCCTCCTCCCCTCCTCCTCCTCCTCCTCCTCCTCTCTCCTCCTCCTCCTCCTCCTCCTCCTCCTCCTCCTCCTCCTCCTCCTCCCTCCTCCCCTCCTCCCCCTCCTCCTCCTCCTCCTCCTCCTCCTCCTCCTCCTCCTCCTCCTCCTCCTCCTCCTCCTCCTCCTCGAACTTCGGGGGTGCTGACAAGGTGACCCTGGCCCAAGGTGCCCCCAGCTTTTCGCTCAATTCTGGAGCCCCTGGGGCCCTCTGGGCCCCGCGAGGGGTGCTCTGGAGGCCTTGGTGGCCTCCTCGGAAGCCCTGGGGGGCACCGTGGGCCAGGGGCACTACTGGCAACATCCGCGAGATGGCGGGGGGCACCTGCGGAAGGGGCGAGGGCGGAGCGCACAGGACCCAGCAGCTGCACGCGGAGCGAGGCGGCAGGAGGGCCCCTGGGGGCAGGCGCGGGGGCGGGCCACGGGGCCGACTGCGCTGGGGTTCGTAATTAGGGCCTGGTGCGCCGACGTCCTCGTCTCTCTTGACCGCTCGACGCCCTCGCTGTTCAGAACGACGAGGCACGAGGCTCTCGACTCTCGGCCCCGCCTTTCGCACGGCCTTCGCGCCGCGGGCCCTCTTGCAGGGGCCAGGGGCCCGGAAGACGCCTCTGCAAGGGGGCTCTCAAACTCGGCGGGCTCGGCCTCCGCCTGCCCCCCCCGGCTCTCCTCCTGCTCCGCCTCCGTTGCCCGTGGACCGAGCACTGAACCCATGCATCGACAGTACATGCATGCCTCGCTTTTACTTCGAACGACCTCCGTCGGCATTCCGCCAGCCCTCCGCCGTCTTCCGCAGGCGGCGGCGCCCTCGCTTTGCGTTCCGCAGCCGGCTCCATCCCTGAAAGGCGAGGCTCCCTCTGGGGCGCCACTGCCACTGCCAGGCGGGCTCACTGCTGCTGCCCCGCATGGCTGCTCCCGCCTGCACGCCAGGCGAGCGGGCTCTCAGCCGGGCAACCGTATGCGAACTCTACCCCTGCAGGTCGAATTTCTGAAACGCCAGCTGGGGTCCGGAATTTAACGGATGTCTGCAGCCGAGTGAACCCCAGCAGTGGTGTCCGACACCCCAAAGTCGGTTGGACCCGTCGGGGTAGGGTTCGCAAGTTGTCGCAGGCTCTTGGATGGATGGAGGGAGAGCTGCGCCGGTGCTTGGCCAAAGGGACGCTTTGCGCTCCCGCCAGAGCGTCACTCGGCCAAACGTCTGCGCGCAACGATTATGAAAAGGGACAGCGGCAATGACTCACCACAGGCGAAATTGACCCACCCTGCCTTTGATCATACACCAAGCTGCGCCGATCAGACCGCAACGGTGCTGTAATCCAAGCTCTTCGCGATTGGCCGCAGATCGGCGGCGCCTGTGCTGCTCAAGGCGGCAGCGCGGCAGGGGCGCGGGGCACAAGCCAGACAAAGGCTCTCGAATCTCGTTTGGCAAACTGTCGCAACAACCCTTGGCAACGCAAAATGTTCGCACCCAACGTCGTAAAAAACTCCTGGCAAACTGTCGCAACAACCCTTGGCAACGCGCGCAGACAGAATCTCGCAAACGGACGCCTTGAGCTCTGCTGCGCTGAAATGTTCGCACCCCACGTCGTAAAAAACTCCTTGGCAGCCGTCGCCGTGCGCGACGGCCACTCCACCAATCTGCCTGGAGATGCGCGCGGGAGGCGGCGCAGCCCGTGCGCTCCGAGGGCTGCCGCCGCCGCGCACTGCGAGCGGGCGGCAGCCCCCCAAAGAGGCCCTCTGCACCAGGCGAGGCGCCTCCTGGGCGCCAACTGGGCGCCCTGTAGACGCCCTCGAGGCGCCGCCTCCTCCTCCTCCTCCTCCTCTTCCTCGTCCTCCTCCTCCTCCTCCCCTCCTCCTCCTCCTCCTCCTCCTCCTCCTCCTCCTCCATCTCCTCCTCCTCCTCCTCCTCCTCCTTCTCCTCCTCCTCTCTCCTCCTCCTCCTTCCTCATCCTCCTCCTCCTCCTCCTCTCCTCCCCTCCTCCTCCTCCTCCCTCCTCCTCCTCCTCCTCCTCCTCCTCCTCCTCCTCTCCTCTCCTCTCTCTCCCCTCCTCCCTCCTCCTCCTCTCCCTCCTCCTCCTCCTCCTCCTCCTCCTCCTCCTCCATCTCCTCCTCCTCCTCCTCCTCCTCCTCCTCCTCCTCCTCCTCCTCCTTCATCCCCTCCTCTCCTCCTCCCTCCTCCTCCTCCTCATCATCATCATCATCAGCATCAGCAGCAGCAGCATCATCATCATCTTCATCATCGGTGCATCCTGGTAGGCGCCTCCCAGGCGCCTCACAGGCGCCTTCTAGGCGCACCCTCAGCGCGGCAACCTCAGAGTAGGTGCAGCCGAGCTGTCCGAGGCGGGGGGGCGGGGGCCGCTCAGAGATGGCGGGTGCACGCCGCTGCTGGCTGCGCCCCTGCAGAGGCAGGACGAGCGGACAGCGTGTCCACGCGATTAGGTGGGTCTGCTTGGTGCTCCTCGCCTTTTCGGGCCGCCTTCGCGGTTGAAACTTCCGAGCCGAGCTGGACTTCCGAGTTGATGGGGGTAGCGTTCGCCAAACAAGTGGCCCTCTGCACGAGGCGGGAGGAAGATGTGCAAGTGCAGGTGGAGGAGGAGAAGACGGAGGAGGAGGAGGAGGAGGAGGAGGAGGAGGAGATGGAGATGGAGGAGGAGGAAGAGGAGAAGGGAGCGGGGGCGAAAAACGATGAGGATGGGGACCCTTCAACCTCGCGAGCCAAACCCATTCGAGTTATTCGCCCAGAACTCCAATTCTCTCCAGAACGTTGAACCCTCCTCCTCCTCCTCGGACTACAGTCGCACTGTTGAAATTAGAAACGCTACATAAGGAACGAAGCCTCTCCTTGGCACCAGAAGCGACTGGGTGCACGAAGAGGGCTGGAGGAACAATCACGAAACGACCCAAGGAACCGCGAGCCCCGTCCGAACCCAGAGCGGTCCCTATGTCAGCGTCTTGCCTGCACGCACTCTGAGGCCTTCTTCTTCCAGGCAGCCTGCCCGCTGCCGCACCTCCCCCGGCCTCCGTGCTACGATGCTGCAGCCTACAGCTTGAGAGTCTACGCCCCCTCCGCTGCGCCTCCGTGCTCTTCCCCTGCTCTGGCCTCGCCCTCTCGCCTCGCCGCCTCTCTCCCGCCTCGCTTCCCTCTCGCCCGTCGTCTGCTGGGGTGTAGCCCCCGAGGTGTCTCACTGTCTGCGCCTGCCTGTGTGCGCGTACGTACGCAAGGCTGCACGGTGCGCGCTAAAATCGACCGCTTCGCATGCTGGCGACGATCACCCGGGGTAGATTCTCTCGCACGTTCGCACGCACGAGCGGAGCACGGCACAGACCACGCCCAAGGCCGAATATTCTTCTTCTTCTTTTTCTTCTTCTTCTTCTTCTTCTTCTTCTTCTTCTTCTTCTTCTTCCTACTCCTCAACATCCCCCGACCCGTGAACCATCCTCCTCGTCCTACTCGTCTTCCTCCCCCACTCGAGTCGCCAGATCTTTCGCGAAAAAGCAGCGTCCGATGGATCACCGACCAAGGAACTTGCATTCACCTACGGCGCGGAGGAGGAAGAGGAGGAGTGCGAGGAGGAGGTGGAGGAGGGGAGGAGGAACGGAAGCAGTGCAAGTCACGGCAGGACCACCGCGGAAGATCTGGGAGCAGGTTGGCGGCACGCACCGGGGGTCGGCGCGAGAGGGGTGGCCTTCTAAGAAGGCGGAGGGGGCCGAAGAAGACGGGAGGCTCCTTAGAAGCCCTCCCAAGAACTCCAGGAACCATTCTGAGGAACCTCCAGGCCCTCCCAGGAAGGCACCTGTCTTCCAAGAGGCCCCTCGCCCTCTCAAGGGCCGCCGCCCCCGCGCCACTCCCCCTGTGCCGGCCGCCGATCGGCGGGAGGGCGCGGTGCAGCCAGGAAGCGCCACGGCATGCCGCGCAGCGTCCTGGAAGCCGTCCAGGAAGACCGCCCACGTCACTCTCCCCAGCTGCTGGAAGTAGTTCACCCAGAACCTGGCGTGCAGATCAGGCGCTCCGAGGCGGCGAGAAGAAAGGGCAGCAGCTCCAGACAAGCCGGCGGCGGGACGAGTGGCTGCCGAGGGGCCAGGGAAGTGCGGTCGGCGAGGAAGGGCACAGGGGCCGTGACGAGAGTTGAGGCCAAATCAAGCGCAGAAGTGCACGCAGTCGCAGAGAAGCACAGCCGTCCCCTTCCAAGGGGATGGGTCAGTGGCACGGCGATGGGAAGAGCTCGCTGGGGACGGCCTCTGTGGCAAGCAACCGACGACAGGTCAACACGGCGTGCCCCTGGGGCCCAGAGCAGTCTAAGGCCAAAGGCTGACCCCGCTCGGGGGGAGGGGGGGAGCACCCTGCCGAGCTCGTTTCGCACAGTGGCAAAGTCGCCGATGCAAAGGTCGGCGGGCACTGCCGCGGCCACGGCGACTGCTCACAGCGTGGGCCCCCCTGGCAGCGCGCGGCGGAGGGGAGGCACTGGGAGCCCTCGGCACACCCCCGCAAAACTCACACGAAAGCGGCCGCCGAAAGCCAAGTCGGGGGGGCCGTCCGTCGCTGGGGGCGCCCCTCTGGCCATCCCAGAAGGGGCTCGAGAGAACACGATCGGAGGAGCCTCAGGGGCTGAGCCTGGGATTGGCAACACTCCGCCCAACCCCAGTCCTCCGACGTCGTGGCGTTTTTCCCCCACACGGGCCCCCAGAGCTCTCGACCGTACCCCAGGGGGCCAGTGCTCCGTCGCCACGGGACGCTTGTCCACAGACCCCTTCGCGCAGCCCCGTGGAGGCCGAGGTTGTGAAGGAGCGATGGCACCCGAGACTCCCAGACACCCAACGTCACGATGGCTTCGCAACAGGGACCCTAGAGGTCTCGACACTGTCCCCAAGACCAGATCTCCATTCCGAGCCGTTTTCTGACGGCCCTGGGGCCTGGTGAGGACTCCGTTATGACTCTTGCCACGGCGCGCGGGAACCTGGGGCTGAAATCGACCACGACGTTGTCAGTCCCCATCCCATCTACCACGATCAAAATCGACCACGACATCAGCCGACCTGATTTGTGTAATCCGCGGCCCAGGAGCTCTGGACCCCTGCCCTGGGGGTCGTGTGTCATCCTGGTTTCGCTCCTGATGATACTACCCAATAACGTGCCCAAGAGGCCGGACTCGCGGAAAACGCCCGGCTTGAAAAAAACATACCGTCGGAGATCTGGCACTGCGAGAGGCAACGGTAGGGGCGGCTTAGGGGCGACTGAGGCTCGTTGCGGTCCCCCCCTGCGCCTGCCCCCCCCCACCCTACCCCTGGCCCCTGACGCTGGGCTGCGCACGCCAGGCTCGGGCTCGCGCGACCTTCCCCCCGAGGCCGCCGCTCCGAGAGCAGAGCCCCCCCGGCCCCCGCCCCCCCCCCCCCCCCGCGAGGGCGGCCGGGACGGTGGGCCAACCACAGGAGAGAGCGCCGAGCGGCGGGGAGCCACTGCCCCGGCTTCTCCTCCTCGGGCTCGAGCACGCGCAGGCGCTGCAGGTCCTCCCGTGGAGGCCGCCCAACTGCAGCAGAACAGTCGCAGCACGGCCATGGCTACTCCAGATTTCGTAATGTAATAAAGGGAGGGGGGGGGTCTCATTTCGGGGGGGGGGTCTCTTCCAAGCTATCTTGGAGGGCCTGGGGGGGTCTGGGGACGATGTTTTGGAGGGTTCTCCCACGGGGGGGGGTCTGAAATGGCTTGTCTTGGAGGGTCCAGACCCCCTCCCTTTTATTACGAAATCTGGAGTGTACGAGCACAGCTCGAGCAGTGAACCGACCACAGAGCTCTCGAGGCTGTAGACTGATGCGTTCGACGATGCCCGATCCAGCCGTGCAGCGAAGAGCTCTCTCTGGCTGCTCCACGTCTCGAGATCCGCCACCGTGCCCCCTGGCACGCTGAGGCGTGGGAGAATACCACGGGCTGTCTGGTAGGGTTGTCTTGTAACCTAGTCGGGGGACCGCCGTCCTCTACTCACGGACTGTTGCATGCATCGCCCCTCCTTCCAGAGGCCACTTCCCTCGTGCCCGCTCGAGGATGGAGCACTTCCAGCATGGCAGCTTATGCCTAATCCCCCATTCCACACGTGCTCGCTCGAGGATGATGCACTTCCCGCATGGCATCGAATGCCTGAACCCTGAATCCATGCGCGCTCGCTCGAGGATTGTGCACTTCCCGCATGGCAGCCAATGCCTGAAAACTGAAAACCCCCTCCACGCGTGCCCGCTCGAGGATGGTGCACTTCCCGCATGGCAGCTGACGCCTGGACCCGCTTTCTATGCGCGCCCGCTCGAGATTTGCGCACTTCCCGCAAGGCTGCTATCTCCTAGGCCCCTCATCCCACGCGCACCCGCTCGAGGATCTTCTACGTCCCGCATTCCCAGGCGCTGCTCCCAAGCGCTCCAGGGCTTTCCGCTCCGTAGTCGCCAACATGTCGAACTCGGGGGGAATGCACGCCGAGTTAAGGCGGCCACCGGCAGTAACCTAGGCACAGCCACTTCGCTCGAGGCGGGGGGCCGGAAGGCCGGATCGGGAAGTGTTCGGCACCCCCCCGCCGCCCCCCACCGCCCCGCCCAATGAGGGCAAAGGGGGAGGGGGAGAGGAAGAGGAGGAGGAAGGGGGAGAGGGAGCGGAGCTGAAGGAGGGCAGGAAGAAAAAATCCCTAACAAGATTTCCATATACCCGCCACACCCTGGCACAGCCGGCGGCTCCCATAGAAACACTAGACATCACGATAGCGCAAACACCTGCCATCGCGAACGCGCCCCACCACACACGTACGCCCTCACACGCATGCGCACACACCGACAAGAGAGACACCACCACCACCACACGCGCACGCATGCACACATATTGAGTGGCATGCGTCGCGAGGGGTCGGCCCCTCCGCCCCTACTACCCGTGCCGGCGGCGGGAAGGTACAAGACCCTCCGCGAGCTAAGTGTACGAGACCCCCGCCAATGGAGGCAGGACAAGACTGCTAACAAACACAAATAGCGATCCGCAGGCGAGGGACGGTCCGCCGGGCACTGGGGTCGGGACAAAGACCCCCGTTCTTGTATCCAGGTGTCTGCGAACATATACACCCGCACAGCTGCGCACCACAACTGGAGGCAGGCTACCACCATAGGACCAGCAGAAACCGCACAGCGAACACCGCACGAATCGCCGCCGGCGCGCAGTGGTCAGTCGCGGGCCGGCGCTCACGCCGAGGCGGAGCAGCAGGGATGACGACCTCGGAAGGTCGCCTTAATCGAACTGCGGCCCGTGCCAAGGCACGCGATACCCTCCCGCCCCAGGTCGATATTTGCCGAGGCACCGTGTCCACAGGAGTCCATCAGCAGGGCTCAGTCCAGGACACAAGCACGGGTCCCATTCGAAAGATGTCAGTCTGAAAAGCACAGGACTGGGATGAGGGGACTGCTCGTACCCAGCTTCCTGTGCGGGTTGGCCGCGCCTGCCTGCCAAATCATCGAGGGTGGCCCAGACGAAAGTTTCGCCCCCTGGCGGGCAGGCTGCGTCACCCCAGCCCGGCTGGGCGGCCTGGGTGGCGTTATAGGCTAGCTTGCACAACCCAGCTTGCACCACATAGCTTACACCACAATGCATGTAGCACAAAGCATGCAGGACATAGCTTGCACCACATTACTTTTGTCCGACGCGACGATCTTTGGACGCGCTGGACGGTAGGCCACACCGTCCCTGCGCCGCGGCCCCAGGAGAAGGGCGCGGGTGGGTGAGGAGCGCAGCAGGCCCGAGTGGGCACGTGCAACTTACGTTTGGAGCTCACGCGCGCGTTCGACGCGTGGGACTGTCCCGGGCGCACACCACAGACACACCAACACGCACACTTCAACGCACCCCTCTCAAATCGCCCCTCTCTCTTGTTGGCACCGTCCTCGTAGCAAAATACTCCTTAACGCTCCCGCCCATCAGTCGCCAACATGCTCTCGCGGCTGTGCTTCAGCTCTATCTGGCGCCAGCGGACAAAGAACTCCGTGCTGCCATCCGCTGCGAACAACAACAACAACAACAACAACAACAACAACAACAACAATAATAGTTTTAAGACTGTTCGCCCTTACTTGCTCTAGTGTCCAATAACGCGTATTTCCCAAACCCTCGATACCCGCCCTCTTCGTCTTCGATCGAACCCCTTTTGAGGGGTATACCTTTCTTCCCTGCAGGCCGGGCCGCGGCAAGCGGCGGGGCGGCCGCGGACCGTCGGCCTGGCCAGCGGCAGCGCTGATCGGCGGGGCGGCCGCGGACCGTCGACACGACCCCAAGAGGGACGGACAGGGGACCGACCACGACGACGACGACGACGACGACGACGACGACGACGACGACGACGACGACGACGTCGAAGACGACGGCGACGACGGCGACGACGAGCGAAAGCGAGAGCGAGTGAGAACGACAGCAGGGCCACGAAGGACACGAAGTAGGCCACGAAGGGCGACAGCGGGGACACGAAGGGAATGCGTATGGGGCCACGAAGAGCGCGAACGAGCGGGGACCACGAAGTGCAGATAGCGCGGGGCCACAGAAGCCAACTATGGGGCCACTGAGGGTAGCAACTGGGCCACGTAGGACAGTGAGGGGGACACAAATGGCGACAGCGGGGCCACGAAGGGCATGCACATGGGGCCACAACGGGCGCGACTCCTGGGTGCCTGGGTGTCGGGAGCGCGGCGCTTGGGCAAATTGCAAGAAATTCCAACGCAAGGCCATTCTTCAGTAAGTTGCAAGCAAGTCTCCAGCGAGAGCGCGACTCCAGAGCGCCTGGAGAGCGATTCCTGAATAAATTGTAAGGAAGTCCCAAACGAGAGCGCGATTCCTGAATACAATGCGAGGTAGTCTCGGGCGGGAGCGGGGGTCCTGGCTAAATTGCAAGGAAGTCTCAGGCGGGAGCCGTTGTTGTTGTAACCGGGGGGCCAGGGGCCCAGTTTGAGCAGGAAGACTTTCCCTGTCAAAAAACAGGGTGCGAGCGTCGAGGGGCACACTTTGATTGAAAAAGACGCATGCACCGGTGGGGGGGATCAACAATAATTATTTTTCTGAAATGAGAATTCAACAACAACTATAGCTACAGCAACAGCAACAGCAACAAAAGCAGCAACAGCCTTGGTGAGGGTGAGGCCCGCCGCAATACACGGATTGAAAGTGACCCCAGCCTGGTCGATGCAGTTGATTAGCACAAACAAACAGAAGCAGAGGAGGGGGGGTAGGAGGAGGAGGAGGAGGAGGAGGAGGAGGAGGAGGAGGAGGCAGCCATGGGCCGCGGCACACGCACGTGCGGCGGGGCGCCGCCATCACCACTCGAGCCACTGCGGAGGCAGGGACAGCTGGGGCACTTGTTCTTTCAGCGTGTGGACAAGCGGCCAGAGCCGCCGCGGTGCTCGCAGAGGGAGCACTCCCGGTACTCGTCAACAACGCTCAGGCCGAAAATGTGGAGGCCACACGCGGCCGCGCACCAGTTCCTGCTTCATCATCAGATCGAGCATGAGCCCGCGCGCCCCGGCCGCCGGCGCGAGGCGGCGGGCGGCCTCTGAGGCAGCAGGGAGTCAGGTACAGCACGTGGCCGGCGTCGGAGAGCACGAGGCTGCGGCCGTCACGTTGCGCGGCGGCCTTGTTCGCAACGGAGTGTTGTCTAGCGCCTTCGCGCCTGCTCTCAACGTGAAGCATCGCAAGTGTGACCGCGTTGGTGGGCGGGTTGGCGCCGAGATCTAGCATCACGGACAGCGCGTCACCCATAAGCGCGTGGTCCAGGACGTCCACAACTGGCGCTCCACCGAAGACTGCCGCGAAGGGCTGGTCCATCTGCGAACGCGCTCGGCGCACTGATGGGATCCGAAAAAAAATGTTCCAACTGATGCACCAAGGCAGGACAGCGCATGCGAGGGCGCATGACGAGGGAATGCGTCGTGTCCCTCTGCGTGCAGCCGCACATTCGCCATGCACTCGACAAGCGCCGGGGCGGCGCCAAGAACCCAACTGCGTGCTTCTGCAGGATGCACAGCGCGGCCTGGAAGAGCATGCTCTTCTGCTTGAGGGTCTGCTTGACCGCGTTGACGGACGGGACCGGGTCAGGCAAGTGCCACTTGCGGTCGACCAGGACCAGGAGCCGCGCGCGGGTCCCAAGTTCGAAAAGCACCGCAAGCACGACGCAGCCCACCTGCCCGAAACTAAGGTCGGGTGGCGAGTTGCACGGGGCAGGCCAGGCCGAGGTGCCCCACCACCTCAGACGACGATCATAGAAAACGCGGCCGTGGGCGAGCTGCACGTGCGTCAACCCCACTGGCAGGGCAGCGCCCACGTTGGACCAGGAGAAAGCCTTGCCCCACACCATGGGATGTCGATGTGGGAGTTCGTCCGCGGCATCGGGAGCAGGCGGCGGGGCCTCCGCTGCTTCTACGGCCTCCGCTGCCTCGCTCTGCTGGCCCAGCACGCGGCCCTGCGCGCCGAGGAGGAAAGCCTGCCCCCGACGTGCTGC